ATATAGAGAGAGAGAAGCACATGAGCGAAAAGTAAAAAGAGCTAGTGCAACGTAAAATTTACAACAATGATATTAACGCTATAATAATGATAGTGATGAGTGTTGATGTCCATTAATATGTCATTGTTTAAAAATTCACAAGTAAATCGCTTAAAACCGGCCGGGAACGACTTCATGTTTACTCGATACCAATTTATCGTTGACTCCCATAGTTGACCAAACATAGTTTACTTCTAATGTTCAGTTGTCGACTAAAGTTCTAGGATAAACATTAAGGCTTCCTTTTTCTTAACGCTCTTAACATAGTGGAGCTTTTTAGTTGTTTTTCAGACATTTTAGAACCACTAAAAATCGTTCTGAGAATTATGACATTTGTTTTAGGCATGCTTGGCTAAGGCTTGATTTTGAAACCCTAAAGACTGATTCCTCTCAAATCTCGACGTACATTTGTAGCATTTACTCACGAAGTAGGTAAAATGTATTTGAAGTAAATGAAATGCACCTGTAGTCTCATGCTCATTGAACGTAGTTAATATTGCTACGTAGGGCACAATTCAGCGTTCCAGCGAAGGGTCACTTCGTTGCCGGTGCTCTTCGAAATTTCCGATTTCCGTCATAGTTGCCCCTGCTAAAATTGTCAATTGGTAGATGTTGTCATTTCTTTCCCCTTCAAAAAGTCGCCCGGCACGGTTGTTTGTAGAACAAAAAGTCGAAGTGCCTTACGCGACTGGAGCAAATAGCAGTGGTCGTGTGACCACAATGCTGCCAGCCTGTTTATACTCAGCTAGAAAACAACAAGCACACGAAGTAACACGGGAGAGGGAGCTGCAACTTGGCCGACAGAGACCCCTTACACACAGAGACTGCCACATACAGAGACACGTACATACATTTGAATACAATGTGATACGATGAAAAGATTAAGAAACAGACAAGCAACCGATATAAGCCAACAGCCAATACAATGCAGAGTGAGTGTATGATACGATACGACAGATTGCAACGATATCTATGCTATTCAACTGCTACTTTTTTAGAATGAAACAGTAAACAGTTGAAGCGATGACGACGATTAATATCGACAATAAAAAAACAAACAAACAAACAAACAAATATTCCATAAACAGATAGTAAACATTACTGATTATTGATATAAAAAGCAAATGAAAGGAAACAAAAAAATTAGTAAATATGAATATGTAGAGTAAACAAAACCAAACGCAACAACAACAACAACAACAGCAGCAGCAGCAACAACGAAAACAACAATAACAACAACAACAACAACAACAGTGCAGTATATACATGCACTACTAAAGGAGCAAAAGGCCAAAGGGAAACATAGGAAAAAAGAAGAAAAACAGGACCTAACTACGATAAAAGATAAAGGGGAAAATGTGACTGGGCAAATAGATAAAATGTATCTGTTTGTGCTTGATGGATAATGTGCTGAACAGTGATGCTGGCAAGCGTTGCCAATCGGCGCACATGTTCTTTACGTATCGAACGGAACGGAATCGAATCGCTTCTATCTGCCGAACGCCAAACGGTCTTAAGGCGCCGTTCCGGATGTTGCTAATTATACCGATAATGAGAAAAATACACCGCCAAAAGTATGTTATTATAAGGAAAATCAGATGAGAATGGAGACTGACGTTTGTTTGAAAATGAAGCTGCGAAAACAGACACAGTAACAGTGACTAATACCAGTAATATTAACAACGACAACAAAAACGTCTGTATTTACGCAAGAACGAAAAGTCATCGAAAAAGGCAAGTCTATAGGTGAACGACAAGTTAGATAAGATTTAAATATGAACTCAAGGAGGTGAAGAAAAATGATTATGATAATAATGAAGACTATATGAGTATATGTATGAATACCATTGCACTTATAGGCTATTATAGGAACCTGTAATAAAATGAACGAGGTGGGCATGTTTTCAACAAAGAGACACAATTTTTTTTCGTTTTCTTCTAATCAATGTCTAAGCCAAAATGTATGTAGACGTCTTCAGCGACGCTTAACGTTTATCAGCTATTATTCATTTGATCAATTTGTATGTTACGTGCTGTAATATTAGGTATTATATTTTAATGATTCAATGGCCATGTCACTTCATCATTACTCTCGTCTATTTTGCTACCATCCAAATTAACAGGGGTTTTAGATTAGCGCATGGGCATCCAACCGACTCTCAGCGTATTTCGCCCGGATATTAGTTCAATAGTCAGGCTGACACTACCCGATGTCGAGCGGATTTGACGTGCCAACTTTGGCGATGCCCTTGAGCAACGTCTGATATCAGTGATAAAAACGTTATTTTAAAATTTTCGCCTTCCGACCCTTTAAGTTTTCCTGTTCTTGCTGGGCGAAAAGGTAGATTCCTTAGCATTGAGACGCGAAAGTGGCGAATACTGCGATGAAACATCAATTTCTACATTGATTTATAGGATCCACCGTCGCAAACCACGCTGTTGTCTTACAGATTTCGTAGCTATGCTATTGCCTCTCATAGCGATTAGCCACCGTCACATTATTGATTATAGGTGATTTCTCTATCAGTTTTTTTAGTCTTGATTGATTGGGCTTCGTCGATATCGTGTTCTGATAGAAAAATCAAAAAAAATTAAAAGTTTTTACCATAAGTAAGCGTGTCTAGTTATTGTAATACGTGTAGTGGCATAAGAAATTACCTTCGAAGCAGAAATAATCTCAATGAAAATAGGGTTTTTTAAATGCCCCTAGTAAATCACCTACCCAACTTGTCTATCCTTTGCCACAATACACAATCCAATATACTTGTATTTTTTATGAGCTCTTTCTAAGATAAGTCAACGACATATTTTTCGTCTGCTACAAGTGTTACTTTTACTAGCTATGTTTACCTAATATGACCATTAATTTAATTTAATTTAAAATAAAAATCGGTCACAGCTCATTAGTCATTTTCGTTTAGCCAGGCGTAAATTTTTTGAAGTACTGCTTAAAAGGTCTAAAAGGTGCGAGCAGGCGCAACAAGCCCAATGGAGAATTTACATTTTGCTTCCCGAAACGACCATTAATTTCTTCGTAATTATCCAGCCATTAAAAAATTACCTCCTGAGCCATTTTGGTACGTTTGTCTCGTGAAAATGTTCTTCGATCCTTAGTAGTTGCATGAAGACTGGTTATAATGCAGATAATCGATTTCGGAAAATGACGCATTAATTTTTTTACCAGGATAAATATAATTGTTTTGTTCTAAAAAGAACTGGCCTACTTCTTGTGCCAAGAATAGCTAACGAATATGCGCTCGCTACGGCAAGCAACCCGCCAAAGCTTGCCAGAGTCGAAGTTCTGGTGTATACACCCTGACATAGGTTTATTACAAAGTCTTTTATTTATATTCATATTTCAAGATATGCAGCTCTGACGAAAAGCAGTACGCCGTTATACTTATACCTTCGTGTGTGTTTTTGCTTTTACGGAGCTCGTCCTCGTCCAGGGTTCCGCCCCCCGTGAACGTAAATGCTACAGACGCATGCCTGAAGATTAGAATCGCGTAACACTGTATGTTTCTTTTGCAGTCTGCTCAGACTGAGCATGGATGGACTACGAAACGAGAGAAACATGTAATAAACATTTTTGTAATCCACAAGGGAAAATAACTAGTATGTAACGTATTAACATAAACTAGCCTTTGCTAGAGTCTGCGTGAAAGTGCTGTAAAATGAAGTACGTTGCTACCTTTATTATAGGCCAACATACTGAATCTGTTCAGAAGGGAATCTAATGTCCGTATCATTTATGTGCTATACAATTTGTGTTAATGAATCAAACGCCATTTTGATTTCAATCAGACAGTTGCTACAGCTTTATTTCAGACTATGAGCAAAAGTATATTACTGATGAAAGCTGAACGCACGTCCAGATTTCGGGGAGTATCAACGATTTACGTTAGTGAATTTTACGCCAAGTCAAGAATCCATTGCGTGACTAAATCGTCAGAAAGAGCAGCAATGTTATAACTATTGTACTCTAGCCAATGAAAATTCCTACATGTGGAGTACTGGCGTTAAGTAACGAGAAGTTTGAAGCTGCAAGAGGGGGGTTTTCGAAATTCTCATGTTTGTGGCACGTGCAGACTTTTGACACTAATTAAGCTTGCACTTGTACCTCACTCAATCAAACAGACACAACGAGGTCCACAACTCTGTATACTACGGAAGGCAGCCATTTAAGCTATCATCAGATGTCCTGGTCACCGAAGTAACCTGTCGATTCGAAACGACACCTGCGAAACATGAATTTCGTATAGCGTCAGAAGAACTTGAACAATATAAGGCCGTTCTATCGGATCGTCGCAAAGATTGGGTATTTTCATATACCATCATATAGAAAACGGTATGATTCCGAAATGTATCGGTACTGTTTAACCAGAGATACGCTGGCTGTGCTCCGCCTCAATACTAGGCTAGTTCTGTGAACAGATATCTTCATTTTCCTTCGCTAATACGAAAGGATAGTTGATTTCAGTTCAACACAAACTGTAAATGGAAGAATAACCTTTGAACGGGGGTGCGCTGTAATTAAAATTCAGACTTTATCCCCTTCATTTAGAAATTGCCTACGCAAATAACTAACGCCGCTCTCTTTATGTTGTGCTGCGACGAGTACAGTGTCACTTCTCACAGGAAAAGTAGAACGACTGCTGTCCTACGATTCTGCTGTGGTTTTCAGTATTGCATTCAATATATACGTATATAGCAAGAATGAAGAAAACATCCATGCGTCTCATGTCAAGTCTCGCTTGACCGGGACACTTAGATGCAACTATTAGACGATCCGATGTTCAAATCAGATGACTGATACCTAGGTCAAAATATGGCTGATGCATGGTACTGAGAAAGT